ATCAAGTACTTGCAACAGTTTTCTTTAAATACAAAAGCTCAAAGTTGTCGTACATTACACATTAAATACACATGCCAAGCACTGGAAGAATAATGGACATGTATTAGTGATTTACATATTATTCATTTACCAAACTCATTTAAATAATGTTCTCATTCTACTATTAAAGTGACCGAGGATTGCCATTCTGCCCCAAATCTATGGGAATTCATTAAAAACTTTTCTTAACTTAACCAAAAGTACATGTAGAGATCAGTGCATGGCGACACTCGCTAAGCACGAATTAGAACATGCATGGCTTCTCCGTGCATTTCGTCTGGACCAAATCTTACTGTCATCAAAAAGACCTGATTGAAGGACTCTGTAGAATTCGTGCACGAGGAAGAGTAGCTCTAGAGTGTGATCTAAGTATGTCTTTTTAAATGTATTTACTGTGCTTTTTCTGTGCCATGAAATTGTCTCTTTAAATGCATGTGTTTGAGCCTTGGAAGATTAGCTGAAAGGTTTCTTAATAAATGAAATAAATAAAAGTGAGACCTGAGCCGCATCTGTACTTTAATCACTTCCTAAAGATACGGATTAATCCGTCAGGAAAGCACATGAGACGACGAACGTTGCTCTGATCTTTACAGACGTACATGAAGACACCCGTGAATACTCGCTAATCACCAATAAGTACACGCGTGGCCTTTCCATGGAGTCTATATGCATTTCGTCTAGGCAAAATCTTAGTGGCATCAGGACGACCTGACTTAACGACTTGCGCATGAAGAAGAGTAACTTTCAGGCGCCCTTGTGAGTTTAGGACATTCAAGCTTTTTAACAAGCTAACCCTTATTCGGAGCTTACGAAAAATCAGGTCTACTTCGGTACCATCTTCGAGGCAAGCATCGTCTGAATAGATGTCACGTGTAAGATGTGCATGCCTGAATGAAGGATATGGCAAATGGAGGAACTGCCACTTCTGTTAAAGAACATACTTACATGTATGTGCACATCTACCAGCATACTGTCCATATGGTCATGCTTGTTCTCATGCCATTTACTGTATCCTTCATTCAAACATGCACACCTTACACGTGGCATCTATTCATGAATATCAGATCAGATTTTTTGTCAGTTTGAAATAAGCTCTTGGAGCCTAGAAGTGATGGTGAGCCTGATATAAAGCTTGTCTTAAACCAACACGTTGTCTGAAATCTACCCTTCTTCATGTGCAAAGGCGTGAAACCAGGTCGTCTTGATGACAGTAAGATTAGACAAAATTTAAACATAGACTCCATGGAAAGGCCATGAGTATACTAATTGGTGATTAGCGAGTACGTCTATGCACTGATCTCTTCTTGGAAAAGTTTGGTAAAGTTCAGCACAGCTAAAGGTTGAATTCCCATAGTATCGTCTTAGTGAACGAATGAAAGACCTTTAGAGTTGTTTCCACACAGTTACAACACATAAGGTGTATTTATTTTCAAAATGATGCATTTGTCATTAATTCTGTCATTAAAGCCCTGACGATGGTCGGAACTACAACTTTTCCTTCTTTCTTGCAATGCCAGTAGAGGGTCGGTGAACGCACGTTTTAAAAGCAGAAGCTAACCGGAAGCAAACTTTTAAACTGTCTGATTACTTTCTAAATACTCTCAGCCGCATTCTGACAATAATTGGCTTTGCAAATTGGTTCATCTAATTGCGAATTGCGAAGATCGATTCAGCACATGTAAAGATGGGCTTTGCCAATTACAACATTTCCCAAACCATCATTACCAAGTCATTATATATCAAGTAGAACTGGAAGTAGAATATCAAGTCTCATATGAAGCATGTGCTAAGTGCTGCTTTGTTTGCAAACACGTTAGGTGGAAACTTAACTTTCTGTACGTCAAGTTTCGTCTGCGAGCTAGCTCCTGAGGTTCTATATGAGTGCAGAATCTCTTCTTCTTTTGCCCTGTCATTGCAACATTTCAGAAACAGGAGTTTTGCAAACTTTGCCAGATGATGTTAACCTTTATGGCGAATGAGCTGTAAATACCTTTAGCATTGATTATGCAAATAAGATCCTCATTTGCATGAATAAGGTGATCATATTCTCCGCCCAATGACAGTCTCATTTAAATAATTAACAAAGAAAATTAATAATATTTCAAAATTTCCTCATAGATTATGCAAATGAGGTCCTGATTTAAAGTTATGTTTAATGATGTTCACCATCTTCCAACAGTATTAGATTATTGGCAGCTATCAGTACGACATTATACTATTTTCGCATTAATCATGCAAATTCATCAATCTAACCTATCTACCTACCAAGTTTAATGACAATCCGTGAGTAGCTTCTTGAGTTATGGTGTTAAACTACACACACACACACACACACACACAGACAGAGTGCATCGACACCTCCTTCATTGCAATTGAGAACTTGGCAGCTGTGAGCCACTGATTGCCCACTGATTGAGCCATTGTACAATCAGTGGGTATTGCTCACTACAGCACATTATATAAAAACACACACACACACACATGCACACATACACACATACATGCACACACACACACATACATATACATATACAGACATACACACATACAAACGCTACCTAAAACGGAACCTTTTGTCGAACCTTATAACCTTATTGTATCTACAATGTACCATTCCCCTTAGTGGCTATTCGACCCCATCTCTGATGGTGTTACCCCATAGAGATTGCGTCTGTGTATAAAGATTATCTATTCATGGCCAGCCGCTACCAACACGGCAGGTTGTAAGTGATAAAAGCAAGAGGAAGGTTTCCCCGGAGGCTGCTCCGCAAAATGTCAGCACAAAGAGATCCTAATGTGACTTTTAAATCCTTTCCTGAGCAGTGGGCGGGCGGACATAAAGGACAGTAGTGCCTTACACACGGCATGCCAGGACCATTTGGTCCAAGCACGAGACTGGATGTAAATCGACGTGTGCTGGCGTCGGAGGCTTTTCGCCAATCCTGTCTCCAATTTAGGGGTAAACCGACCGTCCATCTGCGGCGCCTAATGGTCAACCTTCTTGCTGATCGTACTGTTACGGAAAGATGGACATCGACATTTTTGTGGGTATGCCTCCTGTACGGCACCCAATGTAATTTCAGGATGGCGAAGCAAAAAACACTCTGGATGAGGAAATCTGTCTGATATTGACATTTACTGCCATTTCTTAGCACATTTTTGCCATCACTTTATACTTAGAGCACTTAGAATAACCCAAAAAACAAGCTGTCCGTAGATTCAAATAAATCAATAAACATGTTTTGACATCACTGGGAGAGAACCTTTTGGGTCACCTAAATGCCACCTAGTGCATTCGTCTCTCGTTGACACGCTTGACGAAAAATTTTCCGAGTGACCTGTTCAGTAAATTGCTGCCGTGCCACAAGCATATCTTTTATATTAGTTGTTTGGCGGCAATGCGGTCTGACACATACACAAGTCCCGCCTGACCTGATTACTTCATGGTGCTTAGCAGCATGCAGGTCGGGAGTAGATCAACACATTGTTCAAAGGAAAGCTTACGTGCCACTAGTGGACATTTCTGGTGAAAGAAGTGACTTATGTGCACATCTACCCGCATACTGCCCACTAAGCTACTGATACATCTACCACTGTCGTAAGAAGCGATAAGATGAAATTGTACATAGTAATCCAACCGGTAGTAGGTAGTAGTACACATTAGTATACATAGTGAGATATCTGTAAAGTTTGTATAATGGGATATCTCTGTGCTTTATACATGGCCTGTAATAGCATGAATGTGCAATAAAGGTCTTTCATTAATTAATTTATTCTTTCATAAAGACGATAATATCAACAACCACAGTTTCATTACACACACACCAACTGCTTAAGATGCAGACATTCACCTTCCCAAAACCCTAGAGTGTGGGCCATGTTTCTGTAATCACACGCAATATGGACTTGGCAACTCGACAACCGAGCAATTAGTCTTTTATATCTTTTTGATTATTTCTGGGTCTGTTGTAAACAAAGTATCAACATCTGGTAATTTATAAAGCTTGCATAACAAATGGCAGTACTACTACAGAAAAATTATAATGCTAGTCACAGCTTTGTAAAATCATACACCATACCGCGAGCAGGTAAAGGAAAGTGATCTCGATCCAGTTTTAGCTCACCGAAGAACTAATCTCCCACTGGTCGTAACAGAGAAGACGGACGCTATGTACAGCATTTTACTGGTGAAATTCCCCTAGCTCTTTTTCGACAAGCACAATGAATGGGGCCATACCGGCTAGTGTTCTTTTGTTACGTGCACGTGATTTGTATTTAATTTACTGCGAAGCAACTCGTTTCGTGCACGCCATAATGACAAATCAACACTGGCCCTAACTGCGACAAATACTTACTACATGTGTCTATAGAATCCCTCATACGATTTAAAGCGCTTTATCTATTATTAATGTAGTTTCTTTCAATGCGTCCCTCAGCCAATTGAATTAAACGCTTGGGCCAATAGAAAGGAAGCCGACTCCGAGTCTGCCTTCTGATTGGTTAGAGATATAGATCCGGACTGAAGCGGTCTGATGTAACGAGTTGTCTCACCCACTGCGAGCTCATATCGGTAGATTCGGGACAGCCAAATCAGTTGGAAGGGCCGCTGCGCCGTCTTTAGTTGTGTGACCACTTATCGTCCACACACGTAAGGTGAGCAAACCATTCTGATGTATATTTGATATATTTAGAGGTTCTAACTATTACATTTACTGAATTGGAAATCTATAGAAGCTATTTTCATACCCAAGTCCAACGAAAATCTGAATTTTTATAGATGATTTTTATATTTCCTTCTTGTTTGACGATATACAAAATCTGACTTTTATAGATGATTTCATATTTCCTTCTTGTTTGACGATAGAGAAAATCTAAATTTCGATAGATGATTGTCATATTTCCTTTATTGTTTTATTAGAAAATCTCCAGAGCCACCCGAAAACGTCTTTGTCAGGGTAGTCATGGATATGATAGACATACCATTTGAGGAGCTGGTGGAGCTCCTGGCTAACATTAGTAAAACGGAGAAGGGCAGGGAGGTGATGAAGTCCATCACCATGGACCGCTACCGCCTATCCCCGCCTGTCATCGGCCTCAGCATTCTGGCGTACTCTCTGGTGTTCGTCCTCTGTCTGATCGGTAAGTTTTGCCCCTCCGTTTCTTTTTCTATCTTTTGTTAATTCCAACATTTACCACAAGACATGGTGACGGCACAACGCATGAACGGACGACAGACATACTCATTTTTTTACCTGAGTTAAGTGAGGAAAGACATGTAAAGTGCCTCCCAAGGGCACGAGATCGGTGGCATGTCAGGATTCGAACTCGAGACCTCTTGGTTCCGGGCCAAACGCTCTGTCGTTACGCCACACTACCCCACTATTTCTATTTGTGGAAAGACTACTGACATAACAGGTGACTATCACCTGTTCAAGACGTCAAAACTGAGACCAGACTGTCAGAAGGTTTGAACCACTCACACCGGGAAGTGCGGTGGGATCTTTAAAGCGCTCGATGTGTGGTTCTCCTTATACACGAGACCTCCGGCTTTACGTCCTATCCGACAAAACGTCCCTAACCAAAGTTAGGAAATACGTTTCGCCTGTGTTAGTAAGGAAATATTTGTTAAGTGCCTTTCCCAAGGACAAAACAATGGGGTCTGCCAGGGATTCGAACCCAGAACCTCTAGATCCCGAGCCATAACCACAAGATCACCTCCATAACGTTCCCAAACTCCGTAGAGAGTGTTCCTTTGACAGCTTTCAATAATGCTTATTTACGAGGCGAAGATGTGCTTGCAGGAAACAGTCCGTGCCTTGATTAAGTATGAGGTGTTTAATGGGACATCCATCAACTGAATCGGACGCTCCAGCGATCATGCAGATCTATAAAAGAATGTTAAATCGTCAATAAACACACCTTGAAGGCGAAAATCATATCCTTCTAAGTGAGCAGGCACGAAACCACACCTCAAATGAAAACTCCTCTATCTAATAATGTAGCTTTACACCCTGTACTTTATGTATATAGCAACTGCGTGTGTGCTTTCCCTGGTGCTGATTTATCTGCTGTTGTTCCAGTGATGTTTTCTTTCCTTAGCAGGTGTTAATGTCATCCGGATAACTGTTCAGTGCCACTGTTCACTTCTACAAACCCTCATGCAGACATTCTACATTCTAAATCTTTTAACTAGCTATAGTTAATGTGTGGTGAGAAAAGACTACTGTGGCGATAAAACGTTATACAACCTTATACACGTGTATCTCGACTAGAAAACCACACAGATATGTTACAGCCCAGTGTGAACATTACTTGTACATGTAGCTATCAGTAGTTAATGTGTGGTGAGAAAAAACGACTATGGAAGTAAAGCGTTATACAGCCAGCCTGATACACATGTATCGCGACTAGAAAACCACACAGATATGTTACAGCCCAGTGTGAACATTACTTGTAGCTATCAGTAGTCAATGTGTGGTGAGAAAAACGACTATGGAAGTAAAGCGTTATACAGCCAGCCTGATACACATGTATCGCGACTAGAAACCCCCACAAAGACATGCTACGGCCTAGTATCATTCAACATTACTTGTAGTTATCTGAGGTTTATGTGTGGTAAGAAAAAATCACGGCCACTGTTTTGTGCCACTGTAGCTGTTCACTTCTAGGAAATCCCACCCATCCATACTACAGCCTAGTGCAGCTAACTTGTAACTAGCTTCATTCATTTATGTGGTGAGGAAAGAACGACCATGACGATAAAACTTAACATGTCATATCTAGGCCGCGATAAAGTTCGATACGGGTGTTCCGGTCCGTGTGATAACTGGCCCGGGTTCTATTTGGTTATCACATAGGCTTCCAAATGCGTTTCGCGTGTGCCCATTTCGAAAATTTGAAAACCGGATTTGGACGTAGAAATGGATGCGGTTACATTTTTTGTTTGTTTTGGGACACACAATTTTGGCATATTTTGCATTTAAAGTCGTGTTTTCTCAGGTGGGTATGGCATAGATGAAATACAACACAGTGTATCCCGCATCACCCTCGGTCCCAGCCGTCCCGCGGGTTGAATCTCTCTCTCCGGCCGTAAGACGATCCGACCCACGGCCGGGCTCGTACCTCGGGTGATACAAAATTGTTGTATTGGGTGGGCCCGCTACTCTCTCTTTGCAGCCAAATGCAAGGGCTGAATTGTGAGGAGCTTACAATTATTGGGGCTTAATCGCAAGCTGCCATTATGCGCCAACTCAGGTGACCTCAATACAACCCCAGGTGCGGCCATAGGACTGTAAGGTTTGAACCAGTCACACCGGGAAGGTCCCCTACCCTTTTCGATAACTGTGGTGGTTTTTTTTAACATGCGTGGCTCGGTGTGACTCTCCCAAAAACGGGACCCTCATTTAACATCCTATCAGAGGGACATCCCTAATCGAAGCTGAGAGAAGTGGGGAAAGTGAGAAAGAGAGGAAGTCATGTAAAGTGCCTTTCCCAAGGGCACAAGATCGATGCCATAGGGCAGGATTGGAACCAGAGACCTCTTGGGTCTGAGCCGAATACCACACACGACCCCACAATATATATACATAGCCTCATACACATGTATGACTAACATCACGACCCTGCTTCCTCCCACAGGAAACATCCTCGTGCTGATCGTCGTGATCCGGACCCCGAGAACCAGAACTATCACCAACTACTTCATCCTCAACCTGACCATCAGCGACCTGCTCGTGGGGATCTTCTGCGTGCCCTTCACGTTAGTCAACCACATCTTCACAGGTAAGACAACCTCACTAGTGCACACACACAAAGACACATGGACACACACACACACACACAAGCGCGAGAACACACACACACAAGTGTTCAGGGGAAGTATTTTCATTATTAGTTATTTTGTTGGGCCGGTTACTCTCTACTTGCAGCCAAGGGCTGAAATGTGACGAGCTTACATTTGGTGGAGCTGAATTGGAAGGGTATAAAGAACACACACACACACACACGTATCCAGAAAAAAGTGCAGAGGAGGTATTTTGGGTATTAGTTATTGGGTGGGCCGGTTACTCTCTACTTGCAGCCAAGGGCTGACTTATGACGAGCTTAGAATTGGTTGGGACAAAGGGTCTAAAGAACACACACACACAAATTTGCAGAGGAGATCTTTGGATTATTGGTTATTCAGTGGGCCGGCTAATTTCCCCTTGCAGTCAAGGGCAGAATTGTCAGGAGCTTACAATTATTGGGGCTTCATCGCAAGGGTCTGGAGCGGCTGCCATTCGGCGGTAACTCAGGTGACCTCAATACGACCCCAGGAGTAACCATAGTACTGTACGTTTTGAACCACTCTCGCCGGGAAGGACTCCTACTCTTCCTTACCCAGTACGTTAGTACCACGTATCTACATGTACGAAATGACTCCCCACAACAACGTAGGCAATATGTTGTTAGTAAAAATCAAGCCCCTATGTAATTCTTTAGTATAGGGACGAAAAGCTATATTGTTTCTACATAGGAGTCCAAACAGTACATGGTAGTAGCTTTGTAAGAACGTGGTGTACATATTCTCCGTGTATCAATTATTTATAGTAGAGATGTTTTCCGACAAAGCCGTTTTTGTTGTGAAGTAAGCCGTTCTTTGGTCGCTAATTCCCGAAGTAAGCCGTTGTTTTATACATAAGTACCGCTGGCAGATTTTTCTTCTAGGAGTGGATCACACTCCAAGCTGCTACCAGAAACCTATACACTCATGATCAGGGAGCCTGAGCTGTGGTGCAGTCTTTCGCGATTTCATTTCATTTTTTCATTTATTTATTTTACCAGCAAAATACACTCAGGTTACATTCAAAAACCTGTTTTTCAGGTAGTGCTGGGCATACAAATACAAATACAAATACTGACAAACGTTATACATTACAAGAAAAAGACATAATCCAAAATGACATATAACAAAGGCACTCACTCATTTTCTACTATACCGTATACATTCATAGCATCACAATCCCTGACTGAATTGTACCAGCCCCACTGTCTGACGTTGTTTAAGTGACAAGTTATTCCACAGTTCGGGGCTTCAGAAGCTCTTCCCCCACCGACTCAGCTAGGTTCCCCGGTAGGTGTTCCACGACGGGAGTTCAATTAGAGACCCACTAAGATTGGGCTAATGAACTCCTGTCGTCCAAAACTCCACAGGCGTAACGCTCCTACCGGGCGGTCTGTTGAGCTGGACGGTGGGAAACTATTAGAGCCCCAACCACGATAGACTGGATATTATGGTAATACTCGTATGATCAGGCTGCGTGCCAAGCAAATTGCGAGCGCTTCATCCCTCTTGACAAAGATTATCTTACACGTGTGTGCAAAATCCATAAACTCGTGCTCAATGTTCTTGTGCTTCATGAACATGTGCGGGATTCTAAATCAGGCTACAGTGTAGTGCGGAATATTGGCGAGGTTTCATGGACTTGTTGAGAATGGCACTCAGCTAGCACGACGCACGGTAACGTGACTTACATGTGATGGGCCATCACCGCTGATAATATCAACTGAAATACTTACTTTGTGGTTTTGATTAGTCTCTTCTTCCGTAAGTGTGTTCAGTAATCATATAGCGGATATGCTGGAAGTACTATCATTACACCTGAGTCTATCAGTTGTCGCCGCGTTTAATTTCTTTCAACTTTTCATGCGCGCTTCTCATTAAGCGTAATATATACTAAAGTACTCAGATGTCTGTTACACATGTTTACAACTGATCCTTGTCAAGTACTAATTTTCTCTGCGAAGTATTAAGTGCACTTCTTCTAAACAGGACACAAGCTATTATGATATTCCTGAAGTATAAATAATCATGACTTCTAAGAAATGTTTTCCTCTAATTGTCTTTTCTATTTTTAAAATGATCATCATCAATTCGTGGCTTGCCTCCTCTTCCGCAAGCATCTTCAGTAATCATGTAGCAGGTATGCTGGAAGTATTATAATTACATCTGAATCCAGCAATTATCGCCGCGTTTAATTTCATTTCCCTAGCTTTCCATGCACGCTTTTTTTAAGTATAATATTTACTCACATGTCTGTTTCACGTGTTTGCAACAGACCTAGAGTATTGACGAGTAATTTTCTCCGCGTTCACTTCTTGCAAACAGGACACAAGATATTATGATATTCCTGAAGTATAAATAATCATAACTTCTAAGAAATGTTTTCTTCTAATTTTCCTTTCTATTTTTAAAATGATCATCATCAATTCGTGGCTTGCCTCCTCTTCCGAAAGTATCTTCAGTAATCATGTAGAACTGCTGGGAGTATTATCATTACATCTGAATCTATCAATTACATAATTTCATTTCTCTTTCCAGGCACGTTTTTCATTATGTATAACATTTACTCACATGTCTGTTACACAACAGATCTAGAGCGTTGTCCAGTAATTTTTTCTGCGAAGGATTGCTTTCACTTATTGTAAACAGGACACAAGCTATTACGATATTCCTGGAGTATAAATAATCATGACTTCTAAGAAATGTTTTCTTATAAATTGTCCTTTCTTACTTTTATTTTTAAAATGATCGTCATCAATTCGTGGCTTGCCTCCTCTTCCGAAAGTATCTTCAGTAATCATGTAGTACTGCTGGGAGTATTATCATTACATCTGAATCTATCAATTACATAATTTCATTTATCTTTTCATGCACGTTTTTCATTAAGTATAACATTTACTCACATGTCTGTTACACAACAGATCTAGAGCATTGACGAGTAATTTTCTCTGCGAAGGATTGCGTTCACTTCTTGTAAACAGGACACTAGATATTACGATATTCCTGAAGTATAAATAATCATGACTTCTAAGAAATGTTTTCTTACAATTGCCCTCCTTAATATGTTATTTTGTTACCTTTATCAAAAATAGATCAGCATCAACTCGTGTTTTTAACTGCATCACGTATTTCTTTCCTCTTGGGACACACCGGTCAGTCCAAGAAACCAAATCACGTACTGATGATTAGTACAAAACCCCAAGAGAAACCGCCTAGCGAGGGTACAGCCCCCATGGTGTCCGTATTAAGAGCCCTCTCGCTTTTCTGTATCCATTTTGATCATATTTGAGTCTTCAAGCATTCTCTATTGACGCATTTTTCCATCAAGCCATATTGATTTGATAATAGGTATTACATCCCTTGGGAACCTCAAAACTAATGCGAGTGTGCGAATAAAACAAAGAGTTTAGCAAAAAAAGGCGCCTTCATTATGAGATATTCGTGGTCATGAAGGTTTCACATATGACAAAACACACAGTATGATATGGTGAATAATAGACTCTTCCTTTCAATTTCTTCTTTTTTCTTCTTCGGAATCGATTTTGGCATTCTACGGCATTAGTGTCGTTGTTCAATTTTTTTTGTTGCAATTTCGGCATATATTTGCTCATTTTGCAGCTGGTTTGTACGATTATGGTCGGATTTCTTGTGGGTGGAAACGGACGAACATTCATGCGCTCCTAGCTGGATATCATCCATATAATCAAATCAACATGGCCTTAGACGGATCGAGACGAGACTTAGATTCCCCGAGATGGGCTGATTACCTGGACAATTATAGCATCTGACGTGATAGGATTTTATCCGCTGCCTACAGTATTGCAGATCGAAGAATTTTATTGCTTTTGCCTTCAAACATGTGCAATAGCTCAATTGGTAGAGTGCTCGCTTTGTAACAGGGAGGTCGTGAGTTCAAACCCCGGCCGGGTCATACCAAAGACTTTAAAAATAGTACACACTTCTTTCTCTGCTTAGCACTCAGCACATATGAGAAAGAGTGTGGGAAGGTCTAACATACAGCACTACCAGCGGACCAGCCCCCTGCTGTAGTGTATTGCACAACTGTGTGTCGCCCAGGGGCTACGAAATGGAGATGGGCACCACCCTACGCTCGGGCAAGAGCACGGGAGACCTTCTTCTTCTTCTTCAAACATGTCATACGATGTGTCATCTGTTGTCTACAATATTGTAGTGTTGCGATTTGCAAATAAAAGGCCCAGAAATGTTCCTGCACTCTATAAACACTGCTTGAACTAAATGTGGTTAAAACACCAAGACTATATACAGGTGGCCACTATAATCGTTAAAATGGGCACAGACGGAACTTCAATTTTCTCCATTATTATACTCATCGAGAGTAATCTTGTTGAAGTAGCGACTCAGGTAGAGTAGTCAGATTTCCATAAAATTAGAGGAAATGTGCCAAGGGACTAATTTTCAGCCAACTTTTCTTGAAGTATAAAATTGTGGCTACGATTATCATCAAAATGAGCACAGATGAGGCTTCAATTTTCTCCATTTTTATACTCATCGAGAGAGTAATCCTGTTGAGGTGGAGACTTTAACAGCATTGCTGTCTCAATGACTATAATAATGGAGAAAATTGGGTAGAGAACGCCCAACTTCTCTTAGATGACAGTAGCGTCACGAGGAACTCATTTGCAGCCTGGAAATTTAAAAAATGGTGGCCACTTTTATCATCAAAATGAACATCATTGTTGTGAGCGAGAGTAGCGACTTGGGCGGAGTATGCTTGTCTAAGGTTATAGAAGTGCGACATTGACGTCATTCGCAACCAACCATTGGCATTGTGGAAGAAGAACAATGGTGGCCACGATTACCATCAAAACGAGTACAGAAGAGGCTTCAAGTTTTTTCATTATCATAGTTATCGCCGAACGAGGAAGTCATTTGGTCAAAGTAGTGACTTGGATGGAGTAGGCCCGACTTCTCTAATGTT